CACTTCTTTGAATCGAAAAATGTTGTGGCGAACACGAGTACCATAACAAATCAGAATTAACGATAAACTGCCAGAAGCAACTAGACAGCGAATTCGTAGTTGCCAGAATGTTCTAGTAGCGAACTTAGTTAAAGATTCACTATATAGGGGCTGCCAGATTGTGCAGCAGACACAGTTCTAATTAGAGTGTTGTCGTGTAAAGAGCAATTAAGCTATAAGCAATAAGTTGTAAGTTCGAATATCGAGCAATAAGTGTTAAGTTGTTTAAATTGGAAATAAAGATAAGTGTATAGCATTAAATTGGGACTTTAATTTAACAATCCAGTGATCGAGCTCAAGAGTGAGTTATAGTTAGACGATTTATCGAGAAATCCGTTACAATATTGTATAAAATCGAAATCGGTATCGAGAATCGATTCATAAAAAAATGTTTCCATCCCTATTGTCTGACCGAATTATTTTATAATTGTCCAAAAGTTTGTCTGTAGAAGGTCTGGAAAAATGAGTTCGTAGATGGGCGTAATCGGAATACTACCACAAAAATGGGAGTGGCTCGATCTCCAATAGGATTAATGTACATACTTATCTCCTAAATCACTAAAGCTACATTAACCAAATTCGCTTAGAAAAAAATCTTGTAAAACCTCTACCGACAGTAGAAAATAGTAATGAAATCGGAGAAAACCCCGTTCTCTCCCCATATAACTGGTTCGATAAAAACTACTAAAAGCGAGACATTAAATTTATATTAGCTGTTGTCAGTTTCAACCAAATTTGGTACATAAAATTATTTTGGTCCTATGTTATATGTTAAAATGGGCGCAATCGGACTACAACCACACCTATTTCCCATATGGCACAATTTTAAATTGCATATGATTCTTTCACTTTCCAGTACACAAATCAAGTATCAATAAATATATTCGAGTAACTAACCGAATATGTGGACACCACTGCGTATGGCTTTTTGCCGAAAATATCGGCCAATCTGTGAGATATTATATATGGTATTATTGTGATTCGGGAAAAATGTTTATTTAATATATTTATCACATATATCGGCCAATGTGGGAGTTATATTAATAAAATTGAGAGAGCGTGTTTACCTAATAACACTGTTTTTTTTTGTACCTCAAATGGATAGAATCGGGCGAAAACTTGCCTTAGCCCCTATATAACTGATATTCAGGATTTTGAAACGTCCGATTGACTTTACTCCATATATATGTTTATATTTATAAAATGGCTTGAAAATATGTTCTCAAGAATACTTGAACAATGTCATATATGAATTCAATCAGCCCTTCTATTTTTCTGCCCCCAATATATCCAATACAACGGTTTTCGACTTTTACGCTGACTTTAAACCGTTATTAAGTGGGATCGTTTCCTTAAAAGTTACAAAATTATGTTAATGGTTTGGCACTCAATATAAATGAAATTGGTATTGGTCTAAACCTTATATCCCTTATACAATGAATTCCGATCATTTGGTTGATGTTTTTGACCTCAACTTATTACATTAAATTTAGCCTCTTCGGTTGAGTTCATATCACATACATATGAACATATGTATAAGTACATCCTTTAAAGATGATTTTAGTATAATTTTCGCTGACGAGAAGTAAAATATAGTATTAAAACTAAGTGAGTCTGTGACCTCCCAAATAAGTTAATATAATATGATACCAAATTTGATTGTAATCCATTCACGATTTCGTCGAACAATGAATTTGAACTCTTTCGCTACATTTTTATACTCTCGCAACCTGTTGCTACAGAGTATAATAGTTTTGTTCACCTAACGGTTGTTTGTATCATTTAAAACTAATCGAGTTAGATATATTGTTATATATTATATATATATAAATGAACAGGATGAAGAGACGAGTTGAAATCCGGGTGACTGTCTGTCCGTCTGTGCAAGCTGTAACTTGATATTTCGACAGTGGGCGTGGCACCGCCCACTTTTAGGTGAAAATCCATATCTTGAGATCTGCTTAACCCATTTCAACCCAATTCGGTGCATAACGTTCTTTTCATATTTCTATGTTATATTGCGAAAATGGGCTAAATCGGACTACAACCACACCTATTTCCCATATAACACCATTTTCAATTCCATCTGATTCTTTCACTTTCCACTATGCATATCAAGCAACAATGATTATATCGGGGTAAAACTTTGCGTGAATAATACGTTTAATGTATGACACCTTGTGACCAAAAATTGTCTAAATCGAACCAAAACTGTTCAAGCCCCTAAGTACTAAATATGTGGACCCCAGTGCCTATAGTTGACCTTCTACCGAAAATATCAGCCAATCCACAAAGAAATCTCAAACGAGTATACCATTTGACTTTGCGAGAGTATAAAATGTTCGGCTACATCCGAACTTAGCCCTTCCTTACTTGTTTAATATAAATTTTTGCCCACACTTGAGGGTATTTCCCTGCCTTTGATCCTTGTAAGTTGCAAGAGTATAAAATGTTCTTTTACAGCAGAAATTCTTCACTTGTTATAGATTTATTTTTGTCTAAATTATTACACGGAGACTGATTTAGAAATGTATATAGTATAAAGGTGAAAATAGACTTCCTAGGGAACAGAACATCTATACTCATACTCAACCAACGAAGCGAAATGTTTTTCTCCATTAAAAATGGCGTCTGTTGTTTATTAAAGTGTAAAAACATGGGAGTTGCCCATTTTGCTTTGCTTGGCGTCGAAAATTTTTTATGTGAACGAACGCTTACAAAAGCGTACATCGAACTTTTCTGTCAAAAGATATGTCTGAAAGTATCAAATTGACATTTCGCACGAGTTGTCCCCCCTAAACATTCTACTACTTGGTACGGGTTCATTTCTCATTTTCTACTACTAAAACGTCTAAATGCCTCAAATCTGCTACAGTGTGTTGCCATTCATGTTTTTTCTTGTTTTTTACGTGTTTTCTTGTATCTGGCATAGTAACCTTTTCTCCACCATTATTCCTTTGATAAGGTTTTTTAATAAGTACATATTTCGCTGTAGGTGATTTAGAATATTTTGTAAATATTATTTATTACTTAGTAGAATGTTTTGATTACTATTATTTTTAATGAATACAATTGAATTGTATCTGTTTTTTTATATTTATTTAAGTTTTTTTAAATTGTTTCAAGTTGGTTATTTCAACTTATATTGTTATTGTAATTACTTTTCATTAAGTGTACCTTACGAAAAGTAGATTGTTTTAGAACTGTATATGTATATTATATGGGTGAATGTAGGCCTCCTGAGGAACAACAAAGTGAAATAGGTATATGACTTTTAATTTTTCTTTACGCTTATTTGAACTTTACTCGAATCTAAGAGTTACTTATCATCCAATGAATTCGCTTCTTCGTGAATGCACATCTGTAGCCACTTTTATAATGCTGGAAACAGTCACCGACGTTCCGCCCTTCCGAGCTTACCGCCCGTATTAAACATAGTTTGTCAAAAGTTATGCCCGCAGAGGTAACGAAGAATTCAGTTTTTTTTTTTGTTTTAATTTTACCAATGTAGTCATTGCTCATTTTGTATACATTATTTTGCACACATTTAGTTGTTTAGTTATAATTTTTCATAATGTAAAAGCTCAAAACTAAAATAGAACTATTAAAAATAGTCTAGAAATAAATGTGTTCTACTGTCATTTTAAACTAGTGTAAGAATATTTTAAATATATTCAAGTTAATTTTCCGATTACTAAAATATATCAACCCTGCGATCAGCTCACTCGTTTTTACCGACGGTAAGAAAAAATTGGAAAACAATGAAAATGAAAGAAAACGCGAAATTGAAATGTATGTGATGATATCTTTTGTGATGTCATGCTTAGTAGTATTGATTTTCAATTGAACATTTTTAAGAACATTTATTAATTGAGAGCTAATACATTTATTACTTTGATTACGTATTGAAAGTTCAAAAATCAATTGTTTAATATATTACAAAATCACAAAAAAATAATATAAAATTATTATTTTCTCCGATCTGGCTACAATGGAAAGTGTTATAAAAAGTGCTAATTTTGAGGCGCTCTCACACTGGAAAGAGTTGGGCATGGTTGAAGCGGACGGTAGAAGCGGTGAAGAGTGTTCCTTTACATTGCGCTCTCATAAGATAGGTCGTATCAGCTGACGTACGGAAGGGAGGAATGTCGGTGACTGTTTGAGATATTAATCATCGTAGAGGGGTACCATGGTGCTAATTTACATCGCGCTCTCATAAGATAGGTCGTATCAGCTTATTCGGTCTACGGTTTTGCGTCGGTGACTGTTTCCAGCATAAGTTGTCAAAGTTTTACCTAGCTCTTGAACTCAATTTCAGAAATTTAGGGGTGTTGTAGAATCTGATAGTTGTCGGAATCAGAATTGAAACCGATAAAAAATGTAGTAGGTGTCATGTATTCAGATATTATTGGTTTGACGTTCGAAACAGAAATTGTATCGGTTTTGGGTGTCACGGAAACCAATTTGATCGGTTTTGTTATCAGAAACAAAGCAAGAGGATTTTTGCTGACAGATTTGAAATGTAAGTTACGATTTAATTTATCGTTATTTATATAGGGAAAAACATAAGAATAAAACAAAAAATGAAAAATGAGGTAGTAATAATAGAAAGATGAATGCTCAAATGATAAAAATTTATCTAATTATATCATTAGTATAATTGATTGCTTGTATTTTCTCTTAATGTGTTTAGTTTAAGTCTGAAAATCATAGGATAGGATAGGAAATGTATTCGCGCCTTCTCATTTCATGTACATTTTCTGGCTGAACAGCCTTATTTAGTTTTGTTTTAATAATACTCAATGGTATACAATGTTTATATAAAATAGTATTTTTGGGTACTGATATTAACTTTAGCTTCCATTAACATACTATCAATAGTCATTTTCAAAAACAACGTACCATTCATGAATAGTTTGATTAGTATAGCTCTTACATGGAATATAAAACATTAATGGAAATTTTACTGTCAATTCTTAGTATTTATTGCTGCAATATTTATGTTCTTCGTTTTATCAAAATTTAATTTAACTATTAAAAGTAAAAACCATACATGGATACATTTTCTTAGAAAATTCATGGGTACAGGCCAGTTGCCTTTATTTGGTATCATCCATTGTTTCGGGCACCGCTGCTTTTCGAGACTTAAAAACTCTCACAGTATTGTCAGCACCGCCAGACACGATATACTTTGGATTTGACCAATCAATGTCCAATACTTTGTCTCCATGTCCAAGCAAATCGTAGAGCGGAGCCTTAGGGCTACGAACATGTTTACAAGAAACATTGTTAATGAAATAATTTTACTTTACTACAGCTTGATTTTACCTTCTATAATCCCATAATTTATTTTGATTATCATATGAACCAGATATAAATAAGTATTCTTCCGTTGAGGACCACATGACTGTTTGCACCCATTGACTGTGCCCAAAATATGTGTTACGAACAAGGTTGCCTTCTATAACAAGTTATAAATTGACTAGTAAATTTTTTTGTATGTACTCGTATACTATGATTTTTAAACTTACGGTTTGTGCGTGGATCGTAAAGTCGTAAGTTTTTATCCGCTGATGCGGTCATAATGAGACGATTTAATTTTGAATAACTTGCATCAAAAATTGATTTATTTGAAGAAATTTCTGATTTAATGCCTTCAAGGTGTAAGTCCCAAATTTTCAAAGTATGATCCCAACTGCCTGTTAAAATTGTTTCAGCGTCCATCCATTGTACAGAAGATATACATTCGCGATGTCCTTGCAGAGTAATATCAGGAACCTTTAAACAATAATTTATATTTTTTTAAAACAACTACAGTCAACTAATTAACAACGATAATCACCAAATAAATCTTTTTGTTCTAACGCCAATATTTCTTTAATCTGGCAAACTTTTTGGTTGATTTCCATTTTAAAATGGTTCGCTTGTGTTGTCAAAATTCATTGAAAAAAGTTCCGTTAGCTTACGAACCTCAGTTTTTTTTTTTTAAGCTTGCAGTCGTTCACGTTATTGGCGGCGTAGTATGAAAACACTACTTTTGGTTGTTTTATTCAGATTTAGAAATAATTTGGGTAAGTTAAGGTAAGTTTTTTTTTAATTTATGCATATTACAATAAATTTGTAAATTATAGGGTAAATGTATAGTTTAGGTCCCCCAACTAAGGAGACTTTAAAAATGAAATTTTTTTTTAAATCGTCTTATTTTGACGAAAATATAAATGAGTGAGCGGAAAGTAAATTTTTTCAATAATTTAGGTATATATTTGCAAATATATTTAACGCACTTTGCACATATTTTTCAAGTCACTTAGTTGTTGTTCTTGTTGTAGCGGGAAAATTCTTTATGATCATTTTAGATCATTTAGCTGTAATTACCAGTTCAGCGAGTTAAACATTTTCTTGTGAAAAAAAAATACTGAAGAAATGTAGCAGTCACAATTTCTTTTGCGCCGCACTGGAGGCCTTCGGCCGCGGTTAAAAAAAAATAGCCCTGGTCGGTACAAAACCGGGGTGTTCATAATTCAATCGCGTCAAACTCCTTTCTGTTCTGACGGCCTTCGGCCTCCTTAGTCGGGGGACCTAAACTATACATTTACCAATTATAGCGCATATTTAGCTTGGTGTAAAATGGGCAGAAACAAATCCCGTGACGAAAGTACGAGAGCTATTATTATTAACATGCGCAACGATGGAAAGTCCTATTTTGAGATAGCTAAAGATCTCTAAAAGAATGGTTTTCAACGCTGTTCAGTATTTTAAAACACACAAAACCATAGCAAAAGTGCCACACAAGACAAGGCCACCGCTAGAGATGAAGAGCGAATCGTAAGCGAATCAAAAAAAAAATAACTAAAAAATCAGCAAATAAAATTCGCGTGTATATTTTTTGGGGAAAATGATAGTTCACCATCGGTTGAAACTGTCAAAAGACGTTTAGGAGAAAAAGGACTCTTTGGGACGATTTCTCGGAAGAAGCCACAGCTATCAGATCGAAATCGTAAAAGACGACTTGAATTTGTCATTGGACTCCAAAGGAGTGAAAGTCATATTTTCGGATAAAACGAAAATAAATAGACTTTCACCAGATGAAAAAACTTACGTCCGGCGTCCGCGATGTGAACAGTTTGACCCCAAATACACTCGTGTCAAGCTGGCGACGGTAATACACTGATATTGGGTGCTACGTCATGGACGGGTGTTGGACCTATAACAAAAATTTGGGGTAATATGGATCAGCAACAGTAAATTTCTATACTGAGAGATGTAACGTTTCTTTATTCTGACGACAATATGCCTGTTACTTGGCTGTTTCAGCAACATAACGACCCCAAACATACGGCGCGGTCAACTTAACCATGAACACGATTTCTTTATTAGACTGGCTTTCGTGCAAACCAGACCTGAACCCCATTGAGAATCTCTGGAAGCAGTTAAAACCGAAGCAATTTCCAAAAACATATGCGAGTAGTTACTTGAATAAATGCCTCGCAGACGTGAAGCAGTTATTCGAAATAATGGCTTTTCCACAAAATATTAGCTTTTCAATAAAAAATTTAAACAAAATCAAGCATTGTTAGATATGTGACCGAGGGGTTTTGGTAGATCCTTTTTCAAATAGTGAAAAACATAATGCAGAATAAAATTAAATTAACAAACTACATAATATTTTAAAAACTGTGAAATGTTGGTTAATTATCCTCCAAAAGTTTAAATTATTCCAGTTAACTTTTTGACTTATGAATAGTAACATGTTTCAAACAGCAGCGTTGTTAATTAGGTGACCGCAGCTGTATAAAATAAGAAGCAATGTTATTTTTTCCGTTTTCTTACCCTTGTTGTGCCACTTTCTTTTTGTCTCTTAGTAGAGACCGTACCTTCACCACTTTCATTTATTTCTAATTTTAAAAATCGATTTAATAAATATTTACTTTTGCATTATATGAAATATGTTAGTACCTGCCGACCATATTTTCAACATTGTGTCCCAACTGCCTGTAGCAAACTTTGTTTTATCCGGACTAACATCAACACAATCTAAGCCCCGCTCATGTCCTTTACATACCGAGACGCATTCCACCGAATTCGTTCCAACCAACCACTCCCACAGCATGGCAGTCTGATCTTGTGAACAAGAAACGAATTTTCCACGTTGATCATCAATCGATATCCAAGCAACTGCCTTTAAAGGCTGTGTATGGCCAGGTATGGTTAATACATGTTTGCCTTTCACTGTCCATATGTTTATGGTATTATCATAACATCCGGTTAATATCCATTTGTCACTGGCTTTTACAGCGGAAACCCAATCATCATGTAACAGACATTCCTGAGGTTCTGGTGCGGGAAAACGTTCAACATATTCCATGTCAATAGTATCTTCAAAAGAAACTTCTTTTTCACGTATGTGATCACACAAACGACCACGCAAATATTCATCAAACACAATAAAATCAAATTCAATCGGTGAGTTGTATTCACTATTCAGAGCATCCTGCTCCAGCAAAGTATTTACAAATGTATTCAAGTCTGCGGTAGTCAAGTTTCCTTCAATTGTGTACGGAACATCTGGTACGGCTAAACTAAAATTTACTATTTTAATAGCGATATTTTATAATTTATGGTCATTTTATTACTTACTGCTCTTGTTTAGTTTTAAGCCGCACCTGAATTTGTGCTTCGCCGTTTTCTACTTCCATTATCTAAAAGCTTTATAAATTTGTATTAAAGACGTTAAAGTTTTTTGTTTTAAAGCATATATTTCTAATAAAATATATTAATTAATAATGTTTTATTGAAAAACGCGAATTTCATGTATTTTTTGGCACAAAAAGTCACGAAGATTGGATTTTATTATGACAATTCAATGATACACATGTTGGTTGAAATGTCAAACAAATATTGTCAACAAATGCTTGAAATCTGTGATTGATTAAACTATGGTTGCAGCGGGTATTAAATTATTTAAGAAAATGTAGAGATGGAAAATAGTCTATTATTTGTTGTATCCAGAACTCCCGATAAATTATCAGACAGTTTTGATGTTTTAAACGCATATTATATAAATTCTTTCTTTATAATAGTTAGTAGTTTGAAATGCCTTAATTAATATTGAACTGAGAGTATGTTTAGTAATTTTTAGAGTAATATAATATATAAGGCATTGAATTAGTGAAAGTATTTTTCGGTAGTTACACTGTTATAGTCGCATGTCATTTCTTATTCAAATTACAATGCGACCATTTTGAATTAGGTTAGGCTGGTAAAGTCCGTTAATTAGCCACGAATAAACCAGTTATTCTTGTCACGGTGGGCCCAGGAAACGAGCTGTTTCGACGGGTTCGGATCATAGGGAGAGAGGGGTGAAGTCAGTGGGGTTCATATGGCGTGATTAGTACGGTGGCTCGTTGCTTGCAGGACGGGGTCTAATCTGGATAGGTAGGAGTTTAACCTGCTCCAGTATTTAGAGCGAAGTTGCGCTAGGGCCACTTTAGTTTCGTGCGGCAACTCGAGTTTTTGTTCTGTAATGAGTGCTGTTTGGACTCCAAGTACGCCATTTACTGGTAGGGATTCAATGAAGGTGTTAATAGCTCCGCTGTGAATGGCGTTCAGTGCCTGTCAGAAGTTGATCGGTTCTTGAAGGTAACCGTTCACTTTTGAACACATGCCATCGATTCCATTGCCGGATAAAAACCGGATGAATTTCGGTATCGTAGAACCGGCTGTTGTGGGGATTGGACCAGTTTTGGTCCTTAGCGATGCTTGAAGCGTTGTCTTACTATTGCAGAATAAGAGCACAAGAGATGCTTCACTGTTTCCGTGGTACCTTGCTCTTGACACTTCCTGCAGTCTTCTCGATTTGACGGCCCCATTCTGCAGGCGTGTGTCGCCATCAGATTGTAATCAGTGAGCATTCCAATCATGTACCTACAATGCTTTCTATCAAGAGTGAGTAGAAACTTTGTGCATTTCTTATCTACCGCCCTATTGTAATTAAATATCTTACCAAGTTTGTATGATCCACAGATTATGAAATACAATGCGCAATAAAAAAATTATTATCACTACACCTCCATAAAGGTTAGATTTAAAGCTCTCTTTCTTCCTAGGAGAGCAAACAAACTAGCTTGGGGCTTATTAAAAATCAAAACAAGAGTATTAATACCACAGCTTGGCGAATGTTCGGTAGCAGCATAGAGGACTCCGGAAAAAGGGATTGCGTCAACACTACAGCTTCAGTGCCATAAATATAAGGCCCAGGAAGCCAAAGACTGTAGCAGGAAAACTAGGGGCGGACAAGAAGATGCTGGTCGACTAGGGATGTACCCACTCCAGCAATATTTCAGCCAAGTAGGTTGCTACTGCTGATGCTTCCAAGCACGCGGGAGGGGGGCTACCTTCTACGCATGTACTCCTAGAAGTGTTGCACGTCCAGAGAGCCATCATGAAGCCCATCCGATGACCATCATCTACACAAAAGGTGCCCAGTTTAGTCTAAAAAACCTGATTTCTGCCTCATCGCGAGTAGGTTCCTGTCGGATAACCTGGGCATCCTTAAGATTGCCTTTGGTGAGATTAAGTTAGGTAATCAGCTTGATATTTGTAAAGTCACAAATGATCCCAATTGGGCAGCTAGTCCGTTTTGATGCCCACAACTCATAACTACGAATAAAAAGGAACACACATATTGAAAAAGCGTCTTCAGCCTACCTTGTTAAGGCGGCTAATAGAGATAAGAAGAATTGGAAGGCGTTATGGTGGTGACTCATTTCCCGGAGAGAAATCATCGGTGCCCCCACCACAGAAAATAAACAGGCAAACCATTCCAGGAGGAATAAGCTCACCCCAATTCTGGGGTGTGATGTCAACAAGCATCCCATAGAATAGGGCAGCCACTGCAGCTGTTAGTTAAAAACAACCGGGTTCATAAAACTGTCCGTAAGCTATTTTACAAAGCCAAGTGTACCGGTAACTTGGATGAATACAAGCTTAACCTAATATCCTATAATAAAGCGATTAATTAAGCTAAAGTAAATTACTTTAGAGAGATGTGTAATAACGTCTCTTCAACACTAAAGGTGACAAGGCTACATAAGGCTCTGGTAAGAAAAAATACCAACATGTTAATGGCATTTGATGAGATCTATATGCCCAGCGCAGAAGATATTGTAAGGGCCCTACTGCTTACGCATTTCGAAGAGTTCGTCCAGGACGATCAAACTCTACCGGTTGTCGCCAACCAGACTGTTCGCTCAGACTGGGAAGATGAAAAGAACTTAATAAGTATAAGTGTAGACTCCATTAAGCGGGCAGGAAAAATGGTATCCCTCCAACAACCCTGCCTGTTCTGATTCCTGATCTTTTTCTGCCCGAAGAGAGAATGAATCTCCACTTTGTACTAAGATACCTGAGACCATGATACGGGACATTAAGACTCGTTTCGTTACTACGGGGTACAGGCACTACACACCTCAATTTGATTCTGTGAGTATTGAATTTTTTGTGTATCAGATCTCCTAGTTTTTGGGAAAGTTAATACTAGACAAAATGTATATCAACACTATTATTAATATAAGAATAAGAATTAAGAATATATTTATGAACAATGTAAGAACATAAATAAATTCTTAATTCTTATTCTTATATTAATAATAGTGCTGATATACATTTTGTCTAGTATTAACTATTATATTTATTTACATAAGTATGTTACAAATATACGAGTATCTCCGATATAATTTCACAATCGTTTCACTATAATTTCATAAAAATACGTCAGAACTATTATTATTATTTGTATACATTTGTATATACTATAACATTTGAATTTTTGAATATAATGTAAATATTAATTTGAAACCGAGCGCTGTTGCAATCATGAAAGTAATTTGTAAACGAAAAGGAATGTCAAATTGCGTAGCAGCGAGCTGTTACGGAAAAGAACACAAAGCGTGCCACCCGAGCACGAGCGGAAGGGTCTCTTGGTCTTTCCTTGGAGCACTTCCTACACAGACTCTTTTGTAACCTAAACCGGTTTATTGTGGGCGAGGGGACGACGAGGAAAGACGAAGGGACCGTGCCACTCGTGCTCCGCTTTGTGTTCTTGTTCGTAACGGCTCGCTGCTACCCTTTTCAGCATTCCTTTTCATTTTCAAATTCTTTTGATTTCGCTCGGTTTCAAATGAATATATACCATTTGTTCAGAAATTTGAATTCTGTTATCTATTTTTTATATGTATTATGCATAGAATAACAGAAATATTTTGAAAAATTAATGAAAAAAGAAGAAAATTAAGGTACTTAAAAATATTCAATTTGAATTTTTAATAACTTATAGCGGTATTAAATGTAATAATATATGAGTATACATAAAAGTATTCTAATAAAAATGGTAACTTTACTTTTGTATATGTATTTGCATAAAATACTGGACTCTTTTTGCTCGTGTGAACGCACAGAGCGACACCGAAAGAGAATTTGTCGATAATGAGGGTCAAAGGAGTCCCCATGTAAACGCAGTATTGTCGTCCACTCGCAAACGAAAACTAGCTTGGGTGCAAAAAGAGTCCTCGTCTTAACATGCACATACGTAGCTCATAACGTTTACACAATTTTGCGTCTACACAATGCTAGTTTTGTGAACTGTTTTCCATACGCATTCTCAATAATCAAACTATCTGTAGGTAAGCTAACCACAACTTGGTGAAAACGGTTCGGTCAGTTAAAGCTATTATCCAGTTAAGCTACCAGCGGTTAATGATAATATTAAGCGGGTATTGGTAAAGCAGGCCTTAATTGGCAATTATGTTGCCAATAGATAAAAGTATTTATTTAAAAATTACTGAAATATTTTCCCGTAACATGATTCTATCAGATTCTATTAATTTCACTAAAAAATTTTCACCAAAAGCTAATAAGTTAAGTTTATTTCATGAATTAACAAAAGTGTTTTTTTTTCACATGCTATTGAGAGTTTTTCTATGCTTGCCCTTCTCTTATTCAACATCTCTAAACAACGGTGTCTCCTGACAGTTACTGTTACACCGATTACTTCAAAGAAGTATGGCCCGACAATACACCTTGATGAAACTGCGTACCACACTCTGACTTGTTTTGGGTGAAGTTCCGTCTCGTGGATTATTTGTGGATTTGGATCACTCCATATACAGCAATTTTACTTGTTAACATTCCGCTTAGATCAAAATGGGCCTCATCAGTCATAAACAGACAGACAATTTATCAAGTTATTGTCTTCTTCGGCCATTTCACTCCTCCTTTACCTTCTTTTCGGTATCCCATGTATGCATTTTAAAAAAATATTAAATAACAACCTGCCAACTAAAAAAAATAAGTAAGTCTATTACCCACACAAAAAAAAAGGTTTTTTTAGTTTTTGTAGCACGGTTCGTGTGCATTCCTGTGTGAATAACTGTATATGTAGTTTCTAAAATTCCTTACCACTGGCAGGGGCAATAAAAGACTTACATTCAGTGAGAATTAATGCATTTTATTTAATTTTTCAAGGCTTTATATACAATTTTTAAAACTATCTTAACTAACTGAATATGTATGTTACGTATTGTTTATGTTACGTGATAAGCGGTTGTTTTCGATGCACATAAGCAATTGCCTAAATGTATTTTTAGAAACAATTGGGTACAGTGTCTTTCACTTTCTTAGCATTGTAGATGCTAAAAAATAAGCGTGTTCAAAGATATGTGAACATATTGCCGAGGGAAAGAAGTTAATTATTTAAATTTAGTGGACTGTATGTGTTTGTTATGAATATTCTACTTGTGATTAGGAATATTGACAATGATTCTATCAGCATGATTCGCTTTACATTTATAACGGCAATATACAATAGCATTAAAAGGCATAATATTATAATTATTATTAACACTAAATAGCTTAAACAAAATACGGGCGACGACGAATATTCGTAGTACTCGGCGACGCCGTCGGAAGAATTTTCGCCGAGTGTTGCCGCCGTGTAAAACCATATACGGACGATTTTCGTCGCAGCTAGTGTGTATCCCGTGCTCAAAAATATCACAATAAATGACGAAACCAAACACAAACAATCTAAATATTGCCAACGCAGACATTTTCTTAATTTTTTCTTGAAAATTCTCAGGATTTCTA